AGATTTGCAGGTAATGTTGATGGAGAATAGTCAGTCAAGTAAAGACTTGAGATTCGTATATGCGATGCGTAAACCGAACAGAAAAAAGGGCTTTCTGTTCGGTTTACGCATCTTCAATTTCATTTCATAGCCCATCATTAACACATTCCCTTCCTTTTCTTTTTTTGTTTTATTTACGCATCTTCAATTTCATTTCATAGCCCATCATTAACACATTCCCTTCCTTTTCTTTTTTTGTTTTATTTACGCATCTTCAATTTCATTTCATAGCCCATCATTGACACATTCCCTTCCTTTTCTTTTTTTGTTTTATTTACTCATCTTCAATTTCATTTCATAGCCCATCATTAACACAATCCCTACCTTATCTTTTTTTTTTGTTTTATTTACGCATCTTCAATTTCATTTCATAGCCCATCATTAACACATTCCCTTCCTTTTCTTTTTTTGTTTTATTTACGCATCTTCAATTTCATTTCATAGCCCATCATTAACACATTCCCTTCCTTTTCTTTTTTTGTTTTATTTACGCATCTTCAATTTCATTTCATAGCCCATCATTAACACATTCCCTTCCTTTTCTTTTTTTGTTTTATTTACGCATCTTCAATTTCATTTCATAGCCCATCATTAACACATTCCCTTCCTTTTCTTTTTTTGTTTTATTTACGCATCTTCATTTCATTTCATAGCCCATCATTAACACATTCCCTTCCTTTTCTTTTTTTGTTTTATTTACGCATCTTCAATTTCATTTCATAGCCCATCATTAACACATTCCCTTCCTTTTCTTTTTTTGTTTTATTTACGCATCTTCAATTTCATTTCATAGCCCATCATTAACACATTCCCTTCCTTTTCTTTTTTTGTTTTATTTATTTGCTGGTGTAGCAATTAATCGTCTTTGAGGTCACCTGTTCTAGTGTCAGGCACTATATATTCAGCAAGTTTTTGGTCTTTCATTGTATTTTCTGAAAATCAGATAAAGCATCTCATCCATTGTTTTTATCTCCGTGATTGGCCTTAGATGTTGTTTTATGATTAATTGTGAATTTCTGCATTAAACAGCTCATGAGGTATCTTGAGTATCACCAGCTGATTAGTGACCGCCAATACGGTTTTCATCGTGGTCGTTCAGTTGATGATCTTCTGGACGGAGGCAGCAGAGTCCAAGCGGGAGGCGTTGGCCGTTAGTTTGGACATAACGATGGCTTTCGATCGGGTTTGGCACAAAGGGCTTCCTTTGAAGCTCCGTTCCTATGGGCTTCCCGAGAAATTGTGCAATTGGATCACCAGTTTCCCGCTGATTGGAGCATCAAGGTCGTAGTAGACGGTGCATCCTCCGATTACAAGACAATAAACGCTGGTGTTCTACAAGCCTGCATGCTATCACCAATGCTGTTTCTTCTGCATATCAATTATATATTGCAAACTGGTAACATTGATTCCTATGCAGACGACAGCACTGGTGATGCATTATACATCGCCCGTGCCAATATTTCTCGTGGAAACGTCGCCGAGTACCGGGACAAACTTGTGTCTGAAGTCGAGTCTTTGCTGAACAAATTCTCGGATTGGGGGCGACAAAATCCAGTCCAGTTCAATCCCCAGAAGACACAAGTTTGCGCGTTTACCACTAAAAAGAACCCCTTTGTCGTATCTCCTCGGTTTTATGACCCTTGCTACCTTAGCTAAAATAGGAATCCTCGGCGTCGACATTTCGAATAGTGTGAAGTTTCGTGGTGTGGTCACTTGGAGGGAAGGCCTCAAATTGGCCTCTGAAAAGCTTAGCGTGCTCAGCAGAGCGAGACAATATTTCATGCCGGCACATCTTTTTTTTATAGAAAAGGGGGCAAACGAGCATGCGGCTCACCTGATGTTAAATGACTACCGCCGCCCATAATCAACCGCAATACTAGGGGAATTGCAGGTGCGTTGCCGGCCCTTTAGAAAGGAGTAAGCTCTTTTCTTGAAGGTCCCTAGGTCGTATCGGTCCGGAAAAATCGCCGGTGGTAAACTATTCCACAGAGAGGTCGTACGCGGAAGAAAACTCCTTGTAAAGCGTACAGTGGTGGACCGCCAAGCATCCAGGTGGTTTGCCGTGTAGTGCGTTCACGTAGTTTGGCGGCTGGGATTAATCCGAACAATTCCTCAGAACACTCCCCATGGTATATGCGAAAGAAAACGCAAAGAGATGCTACATCTCTTCGCAACGCCAGTGAATCTAACCGATCGGAAAGCACTCGGTCGTCGACGATTCGAGCCGCTCTGCGCTGGATGCGGTCAAGTGAAAGGAGCTGGTACTGGGGAGCTCCAGCTCAGAGATGGGAACAGTATTCAATGTGCGGCCGAACCTGCGCCTTGTAAAGTTGCAGGCGATGTGCCGGCATGAAATACTGTCCCGCTATGCTGAACTCGCCAAGCTTTTTAGAAGCCAATTTGACCTTCTCTTCCAAGTGACCACCAAACTGCACGTCACTCGATATGTCGACGCCGAGGATTCCAATACTAGCTGAGGCAACAAGTAAAGTGCCTTGAAACTGAGGAGATACGACAAAGGGGTTCTTTTTAGCGGTTAACGCGCAAACTTGTGTCTTCTGAGGGTTAAACTGGACTAGATTTAGTCGTCCCCTATCCGAGACTCTGTTCAGCAAAGACTCTACTTCAGATACAAGTTTGTCCCGGTACTCAGAGACGTTTTCCCGAGAAATATTGGCGCGGCCGGTGTACAGAGCATCACTAGTGCTGTCATCTGCGTAGCAATGAATGTTATGGGTTTGCAACATATCATTGATATGCAGAAGAAACAGCGTTGGCGATAGCGCGCAGCCTTGTGGAACATCAGCATTAATAGGTGTTACGGCCCTCAGTTACCCCGACAAAGGTCGTCCGGGATAAGGCCCATAGTAACCCAACTGGACGAGTAACTGAGGAAAGGGCCTATGGATAATTAATTTATAACGGCTGCTTTAATCAAACACAAACTTACCGAGTTCCGGACGTGGTGTCGACCACAAGGCACTGTCAGGGGTAAGTAAATGGTATGTGTATGTGGTGTAGGAAAGTGTATAATGTAACCTGACGTCACCGAGGTAATCGTTCAGCAGCACCTCATGCGTTGACCGCTTCACAAGACGCTCACCGCTATCGGAACTCAAGTCTAGCGTCACTTAGCACAAACTATAATCGAAGATAACGCGACTTCCGGATCACAAAGTTTAACGTTCCACACGAAACAAAATTCCTTCGTACACTAACTAATTTATTTTAACTTTAATTAAATATACAAGCCACTCGTGGACACAAATTAATAGCAATCGAAGTTAAAATAGTCAATCAAAACTCAAAAAAGCCTCGTTGTCACGTAATAAACGACAAAATACAACACCATGGAGGCCGTCGTTATGCGACGCGGCAATTCTTATCAAAAACTCGCGACCTCTAATCGACACGGTCGCCGCGTACTATTGAATGTTCTAGGCTAATCTCGCGACCCCCACCGGCACGGCCTCAGCGCTCAAAGATTCCTGCCGACTGCGCTCGCTGGCAGCGCCGTATGCGCATAGCGAGCGCCCCCTTCCCGCGCAACGCTAACCGGTTCCCCGCTCGGAACTAGCGCCTTGCAATTTGGTCCCGGACATAAGGACCTATGTCCGCGAGTAAATTGGCAACCGGGATAGGGTCGCGGCAGCACGTTGCAAGACCGAATCTCCAACCAAAACCCTCGGCAACCCTAGGCACCCCATCCGGTCCACACGACAACTTAACAATGCGCCCACGGCGCCAATACAAGGACAAAGCGTTAGGTTCCTTAACTAACACGAGGTCTCCAACCCGTGTGGGATCCGTACTGTCAGACCACTTAACGCGCTGCTGCAAAAGATGTAGGTACTCCAGAGACCATCGGTGCCAAAAACTCTGAGTCATTTGTTGCAGCAGGTCAAATCTGCCCAACCGCGAAGAGTTTGTTTCCCTGAAGGGGTACTCGGGCAGGGCGTTAAGCGGCTGGCCAATCAGGAAGTGGCCCGGGGTTAGACCTCCAAATCATTCGGATCGGACGAGAGGGGCTGAGAGTTCAGTACCGACTCAATTTTGCAGAATACAGTGTCAAGCTCCTCAAATGTCAAAATAGCCTCGCCAATAACGTGACGGATATGCGCTCTTGCAACCCCAACCACCGCCTCAAAATTGCGTTGCGTGGCAAGCCGGAGGTTCGAATTTCCACTGGATGCCCTTCCCGGAACATCGCAGCAGCCAAATAAGTCCTGTTGCTGGGCAGAAATTCGACGACCTCCTTCAAATATCTATCCGTGCCCCTATAATTCGTTCCGAAATCCGACCGGATCAAGTCTGGCAAACCGCGACGCGATACGAAGCGGCCCAGCGTGGCCACAAGGCTTCAGTACTGGTGGCACTTATAAGTTTTAAGTGAATGGCCTTAGGGGCGAGGCACACGAAAACGCACAGATACGCCTTATGTGAACGCGCGTTGTGTAGATTGGAGGACTTGACGAGGAAGGGGCCAGCAAAGTCGGTTCCGACTCCAGCGAATGGTCGGATGGCCCTGACGCGGTCGGGTGGTAAGTCACCCAGGCTGTGATATGGTGGCCTTCAATTTATAACAAGTCAACAAGAATAGAATAGAATAGTTCTTTATTGCTCCCAAAGTGTGTTACATATAGTCCCTGCGCCCCTACTGTATGGGGCCGCAGTGGGTGAGTCAGCTACTTACGCTATGTGTATCCCGCGAGGGAATTGTATAGTGTAGAGTAAACTATTTATTTATTTTATAGATTGGTGTGCAGTGTCCGCATGAGCGTATGGACGCAGGTAAACTGACTATATTATTAATCGAATAAATAACTTACGTACTAGCTTACAATCTACTTACTGGCTAAGGGGGAGGTGCGGTGGGAAGGTGGGTTAGTGTACAGGGAGTTTTGTGGTAGGATGCTTAGTACCCCAGTACTGGAGAGGTGGGGGGTTACAGTAATTGTGAGTTAATTACACTCTCGTCTGTCTTGCGCTAAGCAGGAGCAACGGGAGGAGCGAGGGAGGTCGTTTCCGTGGCTGTCCTTGGCGTATCTCCGAGTCTCTCGTACACTCGATTTGCCATGAGCCGTTTGCGGTGCACCCGGCTGTTGAAGATCTTGCACTTCCAGTGCCGCTATCTTCTTCAGCATACTCGCGTGGAGATCGTGGGCTCTAAGGTGCCCCGCCTCAAAGTCCAGCATCTCCCAGGGCAAGTCGGTGTCCAGGCAGCGGGGCATCTGCCCCGCGCACTTGAGCGCCGTCCGATATTGCCTCTCGATGCGCTCTAGGTTCGGCGTACTGCGATAATCTTTCTCCTCTCACTGTTACATGGTCCTTGCCCAAGCCGCTCATGTACCGATTGAATATTACGGGTCCGAGAATCGAGCCCTGTGGCACTCCATGCGGAATGCGGTGTTCTTCCGTTCGTCCTGAAGCGCCCGACCAGCCACGATCTGCTAGATAGTTTTCTCGCATCATTATGACTTTGTTGCGAACGTCGCCGCTCTGTAGCTTCTTCACCAGACCCTGATGGTTGATGGAATCGAAGGCCTTGGACAGATCCGTCGATACCATCGCCACGCTCCTTCCTTCATTGATGGCGTCGGCAATGACTTTGCCGGTGCGCAGTATCTGAGTTGCAGTGCCACGGAGTTGGTGAATCCATGTTGATAATGAGGCTGAAGCTTGTCAACCGTGAGCTTCAGGCGGGCGAGAATCAGTCGCTCCATCGGCTTACCCATGATATTGTGCAGCGTGATGTGGCGATATGACTTCGCTTCTTTGTGGCTCTTACCCGGCTTTTGGATGAATATGCAGGTGCCGAGTTTCCATCTGGTTGGGAAGTAGCCAGTCCGCAGCACGTACTGCGCAACCAACAGGTATGTCTCCCGAAATACCTTGCCACCAAGTTTCAGTGCGTCCGCCTTGATGTTGTCGGGGCCAGGCGCATTCTTATTCTTAAATTTTTCCAGAGCGGTCTTGATTTCTTCAAGGCAGGTTGGATCTAGCGGCTGGAACGGAGTGCAGTGTTCCATTCCCTCGTCTTCTTTGTCGATGTTCGCCGCTGTTTACCGTCTCCGCCTCGGTGTTGCATCCTGCGATGTGGGGTAGTCTGGTTATCGGTTTCTTGAGATTTCGCTGGATTCTCCACATCTGGGCTCGATTCTCGTTGGGCTCATCTAGTTTGGAGATCCAGTCTTTCTCTTTATACTCGGCTAAATCCTTAGCGGCATCGTGTTTGGCCTTGTTGTATAATGTTCTGGCCGCCTCATAGACTATCAGTGGGCCCAGTCTCGCACGATGCTTCAGTTTTCTCATTGCTCTTCTTGCATCCAGTAGAGCATTAATGTTGTCAGGAAGCAGTTCTCTTCTGATCGGTGCATGAAGGGGAGCAAGTTCATCGAGCGTCTCGGTGATAATATCCTCCAGTCGCTCGACGTATCTCTCGCACTCTTCGTCTGTGTTGATTTCAACTGGCAGCCGTTCCACAGCACGTCTGCCCAGGGCCTCCTGGTACTGATTTCTCAGTTCCAGGTTGGCGGATATCCTCTTGGTGTTCCTTATTTTAGACTCCTCCACATCGCACGGGAGCGCCACGTCGAGTAGCCACGGAAGATGATTCGATCCAACGTCTTCCAGTTGTCTCGTCCTACAGTCTAGTTGCTGGTGGCAGGCCAGTGTTCACCAGATAGCACAGTCCTTGAGCAATTGCGTCCTTGACTGTGACTCCCAGGCCTCTATCTCTTGAGTGTAGTAATTCTCTCATACGCAGGTTGAGATCGCCAACGATGATGGATGGTCTCCTCGAGCTCAACGGTCAGATCACTCTGGTCAGGAATTCGAAGATATAGTCCCTTGATTTTGAGGTGTAGCGGCGCTGTCGTCGCCGCCACAAGCGAAATACACCGAAGCCTAAATCACGCTATCAACATTCCGAATCATAGACAGTATATATAGAACTTCTCCGAACTATCACTAGGAGTGTCGGCCGCTCCCCGGGCAGAACACCTTGCTCGGCGGGAGATCTCCCCTTTTCCTTCACGGCCACAGAGGTACTCCCCAGTTGAGTGATTGGTGTAGAGTTTGATGGCCACTCCCTCGATGTTGCGTCGCTCGTCTCCCCAGCCCGGGGTCACCTCCGTCGCAATCCAGCGGCAGCCTCGCCGTACGTACATGGCGGTGACCAGGTGTGGTTCAGTAGCGTGATAGATCTAGTCATAATCTGGGATATCGAATCTGTTCGTCTCGAAGTTTATCCTGCACTCATTGATCACGATCACCGAGGGTCGGTGCTTCTGCGCCAGATTTTTAATCTTATTGAACTTCTTTTGCGTACTTTGCGTGTTTAAATGTAATATGCGCACACCTCTCATTTTCTTTGTCTCCGCAGGTTGTCTACTATCCATTAACAGTGGTTGCAGTTTTGGCTCTCTTGATTATGAGTAGTTCTGTCTTCAGGCTGTTCATTTCTGTTCTCATGTTGTTTACTTCAGCTACCACAGAGTCCATGCGTTGGAGGATGGCCAGCAGGATGTCCATGTTCGGCTGGTCGGTGGACGCAGTTAGTGCTGTCTGCCTTGGTGGTAACGGAGGCGTGGGGCCGAGCTCTTCATCAGTGGTGATCGAAGTGCTCGAGGCTCCCAGCTGCGGGAACTCCTTGTTGCTTCTCAGAGCTTGCGCGAAGGTAGTCTCCTTCCTGACTCGCGCAGCTTCTGATCTTTCCTTGGACTTGGCCTGGCGGTCTAGCAGGACTCGCTCTCTGATGGCCAGCTGTTTCTGGAACGCAGGGCAGTTAACCTGGTTGGCTCCGTGCCCCTCGTGTTTGCAGTTGGAGCATACCGTGATGGTAGCTCCCGTAGCTGTGACCGTGATCATGGTTGGATCCTTTTTGGTGCCGTAGCACGAGTGCTTCGTATGGTCGAAGGCATAACAATTCTTACACTGGTTAATATGAGCTAAATTCTCCATGTATGGCTGAGCCTTGTTCTTCTTCGCGCAGAAGATAGTCCTCTGCGACGTGTCAAAGGCGTGGAGAATATGTCTCACGGTGTATTTGTTTTCAAAGAGCAGTAGGTGTAGTCTGCCAGATTTGCCAATTGGTTTCACTCTCAGCGGTGTAATCCCGATGCATCGGTTGATCTCCTCTGCAATCGCCTCCACCGTTTCTCCGAAAGTTTCATTCTTTATGACTATCTTGGTCATCATGTTCCTCTCCCCCATGGGTTTAGGGGCTATCACTCTGGCTGGATTGAGTTCTTCAATTTTTTTGAGGATATCTCTCCTCGCCTCTATGGATGATGGTGCGATGAATATCTGTTTCGCAGCTAATGTAATTTTTGAGTTAGTGGCTGATGTCACCTGTCTTACAGCTGTGAGTGCCTGGGTATTGGCACAGAGGTCTTCATCTCTGATCGTTATGACCGGGGTGTGTGTCTTCTTAATTCTTTCCTTCTTTTGGACCAACCTGTTGTCCTCATTCGACGGAGTAGGTCGCGGTCTTTTCATTTTGTTCGTAGCACCTGATGCAATATTATCTTCGGCGCTTTTGTTATTTAAATTAGTTGCTACGCTGCATTGTTCTTCCGCTGGTGTATCGTTCTCGATACCGTCCAATAGACTGAATTTATTATGTAGCGGCACGCTCGTCGCTACGTTTGCTTGTAGTTTCCTTATGTGGACAATGTTAGACCGCGCGGCGGTGGGGTGATGCGGTGGGCGGAGCATCGTGGTTCCGTCTCACACTGTTGCGCACTCGCTTCTCGCGCGTTCTGCTCTCCTAGAGGCGCGCAGGGCGGGGCCACGCCCTCGAACTCGAACATTCGTGGCGTACGTGACTGCGGCACAGAAACAGAGACGGCGCTGACGTGACGCGCGCCTCCGTGGTCGCGCGCAGGTGCGGTGTGGGGAACTGCAGCGTTGGACTTTGCACCGACGCCGGGCGCGGCCGCAGCGCTGTGGAATATTCCACCGCCTCCGCGTTTCGATTTCTTCACTTTATTGATACTGTTTAGTGCAATTTTAGGATCGATTCTTGCACATTGGTCACTACCACAGTTTATGAATCCGTAGTGCTCTTCCGAGGTAAAGTCTAATTGGCTTATGGTGACGAATTCACGTATACACTTGCATTGTCCGCACACTCTGTTCGATTTTATTCCAGTTCTCAGTGGGGCCAGGTATACGGTCATTTCACTAAATAATTCTACGCTTTGTCCGTTAGTTCTTATTTTTGTGCTCACTGCAGCTTTCATTAGGAGGTCTAGCTTGTCTGTTCACATTTCACTAGTTTGGTATTCGCCTGGGTGGCACCCCAGGTGAGAGCGTCCAATCTGATGTCGCTTAGGCACTTATAACATTTAATTAATTTTTCCTTCATGGAAATCGGGTATCAAATCATCTTGATGCCATTGTCCGTTATTTCACTATTTGTTGCACTGTTCGTGTCCATAATTACACCAGAATCACTTCATTTCCCAGTTTGGGCCATCGTAGTCCGGGGGATTGAGGCCCCGGGCTCCGAAATATTCATATTTCAACTTAAATCACTCTATTACACGGAAATTTCCACTCCAACGGCTATCTTGGTGCGCAGTTACGTCATAGTGGGCGTAAGCAATATGGCGGCGACTGAGCGGCTGTGTGCGGCTCGAGTCCGAGTTAGAAGGTGTCCGCTCGCTACGGCTGCCGGCGCGCATCTTAGGTCAACAAGATGCCCCGCTGTGGTGACCGACCCTTCGGCAATTTAATCTACAATACGAATACAAATACTAAATACAAATACCTGACGCGTAGGTACCTAACTCTAAACTACACTCCGTTTGCGCAGCCTAACGGCGTGGTTCGAACCACCGATCCACTAACAAACAACAAAAAAAATTATTATATTACGGCCGGGCGTGATTGTCGAAACAATAACCACGCTGTGCTACCAGCAATGTTACGGCCCTCAGTTACCCCGACAAAGGTCGACCGGCCTAGGGCCCATAGTAACCCAACTCGACGAGTGACCGAGGGGAGGGCCCAAGGGCCTATGGATAATTAATTTATAACGGCTGCTATAATCAAACACAAACTTACCGAGTTCCGGACGTGGTGTCGACCACAAGGCACTGTCAGGGGTAAGTAAATGGTATGTGTGTGTGTGTGTGTCTGTGTGTGTGTGTGTGTGTGTGTGTGTGTGTGTGTGTGTGTGTGTGTGTGTGTCTGTGTGTGTGTCTGTGTGTGTGTCTGTGTGTGTGTGTCTGTGTGTGTGTGTGTGTGTGTGTGTGTGCGTGTGCGGGCGTGTGCGTGTGCGTGTGCGTGTGCGTGTGCGTGTGCGTGTGTGTGTGGTATAGGAAAGTGTGTAATGTAACCTGACGTCACCGAGGTAATCGTTCAGCAGCACCTCATGCGTTGACCGCTTCACAAAACGTTCACCGTTATCGGAACTCAAGTCTAGCGTCACTTAGCACAAACTATAATCGAAGATAACGCGATTTCCGGATCACAAAGTTTAATGTTCCACACGAAAGCAAAATTCCTTCGTACGCTTTAACTAATTTATTTTAACTTTAATTAACTGCACAAACCTGCTAATCGACACGGTCGCCGCGTACTATCGAAAGTTCTAGGCTAATCTCGCGACCCCCACCGGCACGGCCTCAGCGCTCAAAGATTCCTGCCGACTGCGCTTGCTGGCAGCGCCGTATGCGCATAGCGAGCACCCCCCTCCCGCGCAACGCTAACCGGTTCCCCGCTTGGAACTAGCGCCTTGCAATTTGTAGCTTGCTACAATCGGGCGTGAACAATAGGCTTGTAATCGGAGCTTGCACCGTCTACAACGACCTTGATGCTCCGATCCGCAGGATAGCTGGTGATCCAATTACATAATTTCTCGGGAAGCCCATAGGAAGGGAGCTTCAAAAGAAGCGCTTTGTGCCAAATCCGATCGAAGGCCTTCGCAATGTCCAAATTAGAGGCCAATGCCTCCCCCTTGGACTCTACTCTATGAGTTAGGTAGACCAGAAGATCACCAGCTGATCGACCACGGCGAAAACCGTATTGGCACTCACTAATCAGCTGGTGATCCTCAAGGTACCTCATGAGCTGGCGGTTTACAATGGACTCCATTGTTTTGGAGAACAAGAAGGTGATGGCGATAGGCCGATAGTTGGACGGGTCTGAGCGGTCGCCTTTTTTAGGGATCGGGTGGACGAAAGTCGTCTTCCATGATTTTGGGACTACGCCTAGAGAGTAGGAGTACCGGAAAAGACGCCTTAAAACCGGTGCCAACTCTAGAGCACACGTCCTCAGCACAATTGGGGGATTCCGTCAGTTTCACTCGACTTGTGGATGTGCAGGGAGAGGAGTGCTTTGCGAACCAAGCGCTGTGTGAACTGCACTTCCGGCATGGAGCACTCACACCGGAGGATATTCGGCAGCGTACTCCTCCCGTCATCCAGAGTCGAGTTGGACGCAAAGAAAGAGCCTAAGCAGATCGGCTTTCTCCTTTGCGGTATGGGCCAGTCAGTCGTCCTCCCTGTGCAGAGATGGAAGAGATGGCTGACAGAAATTCTCCTAGACAGCCTTGTCGAGAGACCAGAATGCACGAGTTCCAGAAGGAAGGCGAACTAGTTTCTCGCCAATTCTGCCTATATGCTCTGACTTTGCCTTGGCAATAACTCTTTTGAAGGACCTGAAGGCGGAATTATACTTCTTTTTTAGATCGTTGGTGTTTACATCCCGGAACGTTGATACGTCAGCCCAGGCTTGGTAGCAGTACTGCTTATAGCATGATGCTATTTTACAGGAGCGACCAAACCATAGCTGAGATTTGCCTCCGATGGGCACCACAGAGGATGGAATAAAAAATTTCCATACCCTTAAGTACCACATCAGCGACATGTGGTACTTCAGGTCACATATTTCGCTGGCTTGTTGGGAATGTATTGCCGAAATCGGCACCAGCCTCTGAACGCTATCAATTGTTCCTCTAAAGTCAGTTCAGAACTTGGTGTATAATGTTTTTGAAATTTTTCTGAAATAAATCACGAATAGGTGCCAACTTGTCAACCGTTATCATTTGCGCTCTCGTTGTAGGATCATCGAAACGAAAGTTTCTCATCAAAAACTTGAACCTTTGTACATTCATTGTAAGATAAACAGCTTCCATCCCGGTCCCTTTCTTAGCATCAAACAACTGCAAGATATTTTCCGTTCCAGATTTTACACTCCCACAGAGATATAAAATGCCCAATAGTCCTTTTATTTCCAACTCGTCAGTTATTTTCGCATCTGTATCCCATGAATATTTATTTTGCTAAATCAGTATATGTTTATTTGTGGAATCCGTTATCATAGCTACAATTTCATCATCAAGAAAGAGAGATAAACAATCTAGAGAAGTAACCTTCGTTTTCGCTATTTCTCGAGAACCTGATTGTACACGTACGATGTTGTGTTGGCGCATCAAACATCGAGAACGAACTTGTTCTTTCAGCCATCTAGTATTGTCAACACCTTGGTAAAATAAATTTGAAAGTGGTACCTCGGCCTCATCCGTAAAAACGTGTGCGGGGCTTGCGGAACTAGCAAATGTTTAGTTCAACTCAAATTCACCTAAATCATGATCACTATCTTCTTCTGAGTCCGTATTTTCACCCTGGACTTCTAGATAATCCGACTCTTCATCATCAGAACATGGAGTATCCTCTAAAATGTCTTCATCTTCCTCCAATAACCTTAACTCAATTTGCTGATCTCGGTTTGCCATTTTTAGTTCTAAAATAAAAATTGAAAACAATTTTTTTAGCAAAATAGCTATAAGAAATTACTAATTTCATTAAATAAATATTATTTACTATAAAAGGTGCTATAAATATATCATAACAATTACAAAATCGTTAAAAAGGTTATAAAATGGTCGTCACAAAATACTTACGTAAATGCGGACTCGCAACAACGTTGGGATCATCCGGCAAAAAGCAAACCAAGGGTAAGATGTAAAGAAAGACCGCATCCTATCCCAATCGGCTGACCTATGAGTGCCAAACACGGCGGCAGCCTGCAGAATGCAACTGCGATTTCAGCGTGAGTGGCACCACACTCCGGACAAGACAATGGTCCGAGGAGCCTAAAGGGGCGTCGACAGAAATCTGATTTCCGTCCGGGTGAGAGGTCAGCAGAAGGTCCAACAGGGAAGGTGTATGATCCTCCACATCTGGAATCTGCGTAGGCGAAGTAACCAGTTGTGTCTGACCATATGCCAAGGCAAAATCATGAACAGATCGGTTAAACGTGAACCAAGTCATTCGGCGTGATGGGCGTTAAAGTCGCCGAGGATCACGATCTCTGCGGAGGTGATCTGTTGTAGCAACGAATCTGTAGCCATTTGGACGTGGTCGAAGAGTCGGTCTGTTTCGGCATTACCGCTATGGGACCTATAGAGGATCCCGTATGGTCGTCGCTGTCTACGCGTAGCCAAAGAATGGACAGGTCCAAACCTTCAATACTGCCGAGGCGTCGAGAACAGATGTCCTCTCTGATGTAAACTTGGTCGTGGATGCTCAGCGAGGGATTCTCCAGGGGTGCTGGTACCCTCCTGGGGTAGTTTAATATTTAATTCCGTTACCATGTTGATGGGGGGAGGGGTATTTGGGCCTCCGGCCACCTGCACTCACCAGACGAAACGCGGAAGCAGAGCTTCCACTTCACGCCGGTATTCTGTGAGGTCGTGGTACCACCCCGGTTTTAGCCGGCCCACACGTGCAACAGCACTGTTAAGACTTCGCTTGCAACTTTCGAATGCGCAAGTTCGGCCTCATGGAATACTGTTCTCATCTCTGGGCCGGGGCACCCCAATGCCAGCTCCTTCCATTTGACTGCATCCAGCGCAGAACGGTTCGAATCGTCGACGACAGAGTCCTTTCTGGTCAACTCGATTCACTGGCGCTGCGAAGAGATGTTGCATCTTTTTGCATTTTCTTTCGCATCTACCGCGGGGAGTGCTCTGGGGAATTGTTCGGATTAATCCCAGCCGCCAAAATTTCATGTACGCACATCGCGTCAAAATTCAAGATACCATCCTCACCATCTGGATGCTTGGCGGTCCACCGTGCGTTTTACTAGGAGTTCCGTTCTTTATCGTACAACTTCTCTGTGGAATTGTGTACCACCGGCGATTTTTCCAGACCGATACGACTTAGGGACCTTCAAGAAAAGAGCTTACTTCTTTATAAAAGCCCGGCAACGCACCTTCAATTCCTCTGGTGTGGTTGTTCATGTGCGGCGGTAGTCAGTAACCATCAGGTGAGCCACATGCTTGTTAGCCCCCTGTGGCAATTACTACTAAACTTGCATCCGCACTACTCACCAAAGTTTAGTAGTAATTGGATTAATTGTATCGTAAGCTGTGTAGATGTAGTGGAAGAATATCCACGAGGAGACAGAAACTGAAATAGGAAGAAAACCCGCTCGTCAGGCGTGTCAACTGTGACAAAATACCCCTATGAGGCAATCTATGGGGGAGACCTGTTCTGCAGTGGACTTTTATAAGCTGTAAAATATGGAATGGATAGATGAATCGTATGGGAAAGCGGGACAAAGAAACATTTATTTATTTAAAGACGGATGAGTACTTCAAAGTTGTTGCACTTAGGCTTTAATCATATATTTTCACAAGGCTGGTCCCGAGCAGGGGCGGATCTAAATATGGGCTTTTTAGGCTCTACTCTTAATCGATTACTATTTACGCTCGAAACTTCATAATTCAATACAGCGATTCTAGTCCGGTATAGCATTCAATCTAAGCAGTTTTTAATTACCCCTAGTATTTACGTGTTTCCAGAACATTTTAATATTTGGCTGGAAGATATCAGATATTCTTCTAACATTCTTATCTGTTCTTTCTTCCTTTCAACATCTCTCTCCAAAAAAAAACCAAAATTTCTGTATTCCAAAACCATTGTAATTGACAGATTATATAATACACATTCAGAAAATATTGATGTGGTCCAAATCGAGGAGTCAACTACATAGCATAGTAAACTCTATTAAGGTTGCTGTAACACAACCACAAGGGTAGTCAGCTTTCTCACTTTTGTGTACCTTTAGTAACCGACAGTATGCGATCCATATAAGTAAGATCAAGAATAACAAGTGGTAAAATGAAAATAAAAACTTACAACTGACTTCAATATAAAAGGAAAAAATTAAAAGATTACCAATGTATCGAAGTCAATTAAATACTCATTATTAAGGATAACTCAAAAATTACTTGTCAGATCTTGATCAAATTATCAAATAAAAAAAGAATCATCAAAATCTATTCACTAAAAAAAAAAACTTTTTTTTGAAGTCGTTTGAAAAAAGGTCACGGTACGCAAAATAAAACTCGGTTTTGATTCCAAAATTGTTTATTCTGAAATTTTGAATCCTTGGATCACTAAGAATACCTATGCACATTGGATCAGCCAAATCAAAATACAATATTCTACTCAGAAATTTACACAATGGTCATGAATATTCACTAAAATTAATAAAATCACTGCTTCATTTGAACAGTTTTTTATATTAAAAATTACCAATCGTATTTCTTCCTTGATCATAGAAATATTTATAACAGCCTGTGTAAATCACATCATATTTTTCGCTAATTTAGAATATAAAAAAATATTTTTTTATATAGTTAGGCAATCCGCTGTGTGGAACATCAAATAATATATTATTATTTACCCATTAATACATAATAAACATTAACTATAAAAAATAATAAAAATGAAACCTCTACAAAACAAAAATATGTAATTTATCATCTGTACACTCCAAGGATCCTTTACACATGTAAATTTTGATTATAAATTCATAATTTTTAAATAGAAATTAAGTCCTTAACAACCAAAATTTGCAATTTAATTAATTTTTATTTTTGACTTATAAAAATTATTGGTGGTATGTACAGTGGGAATGAATCTCTCATTTGTAACAAAATTTAATTGTAATTAAACAATATCGGTACATATTCTGCAACATACAATTTTATATAATTGAAAAGTAATGAAGACTTATTATTTTACGCTCACCAGATGTCTGGAGTGAGGTGAACTTATTTGTTCACAATGTCATTATAATTGAGAAGTTGCATTTTAATGAAAGTTCACCTCACTTTACACACCTAAGTGGTGCAGCCCTGATGGCATAAAAAGTCCTCATTGGGTAGTTGACACCATTATTAATGAATTACTATATATCTTAGAATTTGATTTTGATACATGTATTTCAATTGACTAAATTGTCATATACCCAATTCTAATAATTGAAACTAAAGTTTTGTAGCAAAATAAAACATTTTATAATTTTTTGATTTGATAACCAAACATATATGAAAGAATAAATCAAAGGCGCCACCAGTGATAATATCTGGGGCAAATTTTCATACAAAATGTTAATGAAACAGTTTTATGGATTTTTTATTTAAAAAATGGAAATATTTTCACTAGCGTTTCAATCTGAACTGCCATTTTTGTTAAACATAAAAGCCAAATAACACATTGTTTCAAATTACCTGTATTCTTTTTAACAGGTTAAATGTTATTTATAATCTGTTTCCGTGATATTTATTGTATGTATTGGATTCATTCAAAGTGCGGATAGTGTGACAAACCCGGCAGTGTGCTTGGGCGCGACTTATCATCGCTGCCAGTCCCCCCCGCGCGACGTGGGTGCAATAATATACATTCTTAAAAAATATCACATTTCAAGCAACCAGTGTATATCATATATGGGCTATGGAGACTATCATGGCAGAGAGTGATGTTTTTAGAAATCCCTGTATTATTAAAGGTATAAAAAAATTACATGATAATGCATTTGCCTATTTAAATATAATATTTACCAATAAAAATATGTTTCATATAAAATAATGGCAGTCATAATCAGTATATATTTATAAGCAAAACTTTATATGAAACATTAATTTGAGAATGTTGAAATACAATTCACATATGAAATTATTTTGTTATTTTCAAAAGCAAAACCTTTAATAAATCAATGGATTACTGAAAACACCACACTCTGACTTGAAAATCTTGACTATTGTACATTGTGGAGGATAGGGGGTAGGGAATTAGTGTATAGTGTGTGTAAATAACTCTGTATCTACGCTATTGCTAAGTTGTGTGTGTGGCACGCCGCGCGAGCAACGAAAATATAAGGAACAGGCAGCGTCAGTCTTATGTTACAGTCTCCATGGTCTTGCTACCATTAAATGCATGTGAAATCAAATCTAAACATAAAACATTCACTGCTAAACAGGTATATATAATCTAAAAAATTATATATCAAGTACGGACTCTATTAAATAGACCTTAAATTCTTAACTTTAGTTCTTTAGCTGTTTTTCTCCTAATATATTGTAGAGAATGCTAGTAAGTACAACTAACATAAAAAGGGTCAATTCCAATGATATTCACTTCTGTATTACAATTCTTTAGCTACAAGACATGGAGACCACAGAGGGTCGGTCCCAAGCACACTGCGCTGAGTTTCTTGGTGCGCAGAGCGCTGGACTGGACCCGCGCGGGCCGAAGCTGCGCGCGGGGACTGTGGTAACGGACTTAAAGTTAACTTAATACTAACATTTTGCCATGAAACTGTCTTAGTAATTTTAAGTTCATAGAAGTGGTTTGTTCAATTGGCTTTCTTACTTTCAAATACATAATTATTAACTTAGAATTCCAATGGAAAAGTTTCCTACTTTCAAATAAAGTAAGAAGTTATTAAATTAAGTAAAAATTCAATTTGCATAAATTTGCTCTATTTGTTTATTTACAGTTTCATGGGGGAATAAGCTGTGGTTGCCATACCTTCAAACAATTTAGAATAATGTAATCTCAATTAACATCTAGTCACTCACAATCTAAGACTTCTCTACCAACATTTGTCACTTATGCAGGGTTTCTATATTCAAAAAATGTTTAGTCTTCCCTTACAAGCCATTTCATAGTACAATTTAGTGCATGAAAAACTATTTTTTTTAAAGAAAATAGGTACTGATTCAATAATTTACAAATTATTTAAAGTTGCTTCTTTTTTAGTAATCTTAAGTTGCCTAATAAATATTTTTATTTACATTAGACTATAACCTCACCCCATTTGTAATAAAACAAATTTTTAGGGATAATGAAACATTTCTTAAATATAGGATTATGGCATTAATAACTTTTAGTAGTTCTAGAATGCTTTATAATGTATTTTATAATATATATAGCAATATGTCTTGTGAGTCACACATACACTGACCCATGTAAGCTTTAATGTGGATGAACATGTTGATCTTTCAAAACCTTTTTGCTATAGTAGCAAAAATTGTAACTTGTATGCATCTACATAATGGTATTTGCAATTATGAGATATATGTTATCCCTTGCCCAATATAATATAATTCCCAATTTTTTTAAATTTGTATATTAATGTGTAATCCAATAAAACAAATTATACATTTAGTGGTGAGGGCAAATAAATCAATTTATATGCAGTTGAAAATATGGTATACAGAATGGGGTCCCACATATATGCAATAAATGAAACCACAAGTAATACTAGTCCGTAGAAGTGTAGAAAAATTAAATATTAAATTAAAACCCGTAAAATAAAAAAGTGAAATTTTCAAACAAAATAAATATTAAAATAAATTCAGTAAAAGTGAACACTCTGTTTAGACAACGATATGTCGCAATACCAATTGTTTGCACTGGTGCTTTTTAATGTTCAAGGATTCAAGTTCATTGAATCATTGACTTAGTGACCCAATTCTATAGTGTTCAAATTTGCTTAAAATTAAAACTACTTTTTGACCTAATTACTGGACCGATTACGTTCATTTTTTGTATATTGTCAGCAAAGGCAATAACAAGTATATGGTTTCATTTATTGCATATATGTGGGACCCATTCTGTATACTGTATGTATGGTACATACTGGCGAACCCAGTAGGGGTAATATGAAGTAATAATTCATATTGATATTCCAAGAGTTTAGGCTATACTAGACAGCACTTATTAGACTTTGACCAAAAGAGATATAACTCTTTCAGTATAACATTAATAGAACATATTTGTAAGGATTAAAATATCATTAAATACTTCAAAAATTCTGTAAGAAGTATTACAACCACAGCTTTGAGTTCAGTAAAAATGTGGAAAACAATGTAAATAACACTTACAGCTAGGTAAAAAACATTTTAAATGCTTGTTCTTGGTGAAACATCACACGGATTGATGGATATGAATACTTCCTTGCTTGTAATATTAAATTCTTAGCAGATTTATTGTTATTCAAACAGGTATTGGCTTACGAGGGTAGGTTTCTATCACTTAAAATATCCTATTCAGTTCTTTGTACTCAGACAGGCGAAAATCTTAAGACACCATTTGACCTATAAATATATTATGCAAAATAATGTGGACCATTTTATATTTGTGTGACATTCATCATATTAACCAGCGTCACTGTTAAATGTTAAAATAGGTCAGAACATTTTGTCAAGAGTAACTTAAATTATACTAAATATACTTTGCGAATTGTGATGAAACCAACCAAGAGCAAGCTATTAAATAAATATCACAAAATAGTGTTAAAGTTACATTTAGATTCATAACGTAACTTCATAGACCCTGCAGGTCTAAACGACCAGAAGTACGGCGACAGTCAGTTTGTGCGTCACTGTGCTAAGCTACAAAGTCGAGTGGCCTGTTGAACCCGCCTTTCCTATTCATATATTGTCTATATTTTCGTTTTAATACAACATGGACCTCACCCTCAATGTTATCCTCAACTTTTTTACCTTTTGTAGTGTCAAAACCGCAAAAACCCATTACCTTGAGCATTTCTTGTTCTTCAGGAGTTTTTCCTTCCAAGTCCGCGGGCGTGACAATAGGCCGCTCGCCAAACGCCTTTTTGGGCTTTGGCACGAAGGAGGTAGTAGGAATTGGCGAGGGTGATCTCGATCGCCGTCGGCGTGGGGATGGAGACCGCCGTCGATCTGGAGACCGACGTCTCCTTTCTAGGGACCGCGATCGGGATCGAGTTCGCTGCCGTCTTCTTTCACGATCCCTATCTCGGTCTCTGTCCCGTCTGTCGCGTCTTTCATCACGCCGCCGCGGACTTGGCGAACGGCCCATGTTCCCCTGCAAAGTTACAAATTTAATCAATTAACTAAAACTAAAACAATATTGATTGATAAAACAATAAAAGAGACAAAATACCTTAGTCTCGAGTCAACAGTTTTAAATTTAAAAATAAAATAAATAAGAAACAGTAACACACAACCTAAACGTACGCCATTTTGGAAAAAGATTGCGTTTTGAAAATTGAATTTTGACGGTGCTGCCAACACTTAAAAGGAGAAGTACCTAAAATTATTAAACCTACTAAACCAAACAGTATATCAGTATAATATTTTTTCCTACAGTTATTATTTTTAAAAGTCAAGATATCTAAACATAAGACTAAGTTTTTTCCAAAGAGAGTGGTATATATTGTATGTAATTTGAACTCAATTCCTAAAATTTTTAAAAACAATTGTAAAACATAAACATTTATTTTTGATTTTATCACCGAATTAAAGTAATTTTAAATTTAATCGTTAATTTTTATTTAGAAAGATATACTAAAATAAATACTTCGGGGCTACTATTTTACATTATTTTTCATCACCTTAATTTAGCGAAAAACATTTTAGTTGCCTACATGCACTGCATTATCAAGCCACGGCCGATAAAGTAATGTTCCATTATTTTTTATGTATCAATATCCGGAATCCATCTTGAGTCAAGCACTTGTCTTTACGCCAAAAGTCAGCACTTCCGGCTACCTTAGCTGCATGGAGGGGCACCCCACCACTGTTTTTGCTTTGTTATTTAGGTAGAGATGAGCACCAGGTCTCGTCATTATAGCGTTGTTTTTCGCGCCTTTCACAAGTCAACCTTTTGTAAGCACGAAATGTTTCAATTTTACTAAAACTAAGTGATAAATAACTACTCTACTGATAAAATATGGAGGAAAAAAGTGTCGACAAAGTTACATTATTAAATTCTCAAATACGTGTGCGTACTTCATCATCGAGTCCGGATAGCAGTGATTCGTCAGAAAACCGTGTTTGCAGTCAAACAAGTAGACACAAGAAAAGAAAAATTTATCAAACCGTGAGTAATGAACATTTTGAATTTATATCCAGCAAGTGGCCTTTTAAATAATATTATTACAAAATCTAGTGAAGTTACATGCCAAAATCAAATTTGGTCCCTTCACTTAATCTTAACTTGCACCGACCTACGACAGAAGGCAGTGACAAAATAAACCAGCTCAAGCTATTAGATTTAAGTACCACGGTAAAAGATCCTATTTATCCACGTGCAAATGAAATACATTTAAAGAAATTAGTAGAATTACAGCGTTTAAAATATGATTGGTATTCTGTACTGTTTATCGATGCCCAGAAAAAATATTTATCTACCCCCGGTTTTGTCGAACTTGCTGCGTGATGATCCTCGTTCTTATTTGCTAGAACGTTCCTCCGCCGGATTAACTAACTCCTTACTTTGCCAAAAAGAATTACAAAGAGCATTACAAGCATTGGTACTCGTAGATTGGGCCAGTGATTCTCAACAAACATTGACTCCAAATACATTATTTGATAAAAAAACGTTATTTTCTAAGGAGTCATCATATAGCAAAGTAACTGAGAATTTGTTTCAAATAGTTTGTGGTATACGAACGAATCTTGTTAGCTTACGCAGAGGTTCATTTCTGCGATAGATTCCTGAAGAATATCATCGCGAGGTTTTGCAAAAAATCCCTCCTAACGTAGAAACTCTGTTCAACAACGATTCCATTCATCTACCTACCTACCTTCAGAAAATTGGAGGAGCAGATAAATTGATCACTTAATCCTGATCAATGCCTCTTACACAAAAAGAAATTTTTATGCAAATCAAAACCCATCGACGAGTAAACAAGCTGATATTTCGAATCGCAGTCGCATTCTTCCTTTAAAGATGACCGTCGTAAATGACTCCTCAAAAATTTCATGGCGGCTATCCGAAACAATTTCTAAGTGTTTGGAGAAATTTAGGCGCGTCGGAACAAATATGCAGACTATTAAGTGGCTCGTACATCCCATTCATACTCAAGCCGCCTCTAATACTTCCAAACCAAATTGCTATTTAGAGCTACAAGACCAAAATTTCCTTAATAATGACTCGTCAAATTCAAACTATGTTAAAGTCCGGAGTACTCTAACAGGCGGAGCAGAGTTCCAGTTTCCTTTCCACATTCTTTTTGGTGCCAAAACCATACTGCAGCTACCGTCCAATATTCAATTTGAAACAACTGAACAGATTCATCAAAACGAAACCCTTCAGATTGTTAAGCCACTTTCGAGTACCCACCTTCCTGCAGCATCAGGATTGGATGGCAAAATTAGACCTAAGCCAAGCCTACTTTCACGTTCAGATTGCTCGGAGTCATCGAAGATACTTGAGACTAAATTATCACATATTCGAACAAACACCAACTGATCCAGATGGCCTGCTTACCGTTTGGCCTTTCCTCTGCACCGAGAACATTTGCCTCAATAACAAACTGGGTTCAGAGTTTCTCAGAAATCGGGGCATCAGATGTGTAGTTTATTTGGACGATTTTCTATTTGCAAGCCAGTCGATGCAACAACTACAAGATGTATCATTAACGATAAAGATCATGCAGTTACTAGGTTGGACAATAAATTTCGAAAAGTTCGTGCTGATTCCGACACAGTGCCTAGAGTTTCTCAGCATAACATAGGACACAACTAAATGCGAAGTCCTTATCGAAGAAAAAGTGCTTAACGCTACGCGACGTACTTCAGCAACAGCTCTTAAAAGGCAAGTGGTCCCTTAAACAGTATCAAATCTCAATGGGGAGACTCGATTTTGCCACTTACGGTCGGAGGTCGACTTCACTGTCGAACACTGCAATACTTCAGTCGACAGTTGTCAAAGGACCACTCTTAACACCAAATGAGTATTCCACTACCAGTTCAATCCGAGATGAAGTGGTGGCTACAAGCTGTAGGTCAATCTGTTCCGATACACATGAATGCAGTAGTAAACCTCCTAACAACCGATGCTTCAGATATCTGCTGAGGCGCTCAACTCGGTGATATAAGTACCGGGGGGACCTGGATGAACCGGCAACTAACATGGTATGCAAACAAAAGGAAATGTTTGCAGTTCATGCAGCGAAATCACACGAACGAAATCTGCTACAGGACCTGGTGCTCATCTCTACTTAAATAATAAAGCAAAAACAGTGGTGGGGTGCCCCCTCCATGCAGTTAAGGTAGCCGGAAGTGCTGACTTTAGGCGGAAAGACAAGTGCTTGACTTAAGATGGTTTCCGGACTTTGATTAAAAAATAATAGGTGAGTTTTATTTTATGGTAAAACTTTCTATTTTGACTACGTTTATAACATTGAACAAAACTATTATTTACGGATTTTATCGCGTTTAATTACTTTAATTTGTTTTTAATATCCCGACGTTTCGGGAGCTTTACAGCACCCATGGTCACGGGGGGGGGACTGAGATGTTTGACGTCCCAATGTCATTAATAGTTTTATTCAATGTGTAGTGTTCGCGTGAATTTAAGAAATCATTATACATTTATAACGCTGTTACTTACAGGTCCTACACACACTTTTTATTTAAATATCAATTAGAATTTAATAATCAGACAAAATACATATACATAGTATATTTAGAAACTAATAGCTTGCCTATTTTTTCTTATTATAATTACGCCCTCATTTTTACATCATTAAAATGTGTGTAAATATGTACCGTCACTGTGTGCAGAACGCTTTTTTCGGTAATTTTGTGAGTTTCGTAGGTACTGTAGTATCTTTGATTTTATTATTATAGTTTTTTAAAAGTATACTATTGTAGTCAATACATTTAAAGTTTAATCAATTCACATTCTAATTTCGTTATTAAGTAGCTTATAATGTTATCTAAAATCGAATATGGCTCAAACAGCTGCCATCTTTTATTTGTTTATGTTGTATTTTATCCTTTTAATAACTTCTATTTGATGATTAATTAAACAATCCTAAAACTTATAATAAAATATCATTTTCGTTAGCATTGCAAAATTAGTGAAGTTGATTCAAAAGTATGTATGACGTGCCTTTGATGTGGTTAAAGTGGTACTGATAGTAAAAGCCACATGGGTCACTTTAGGTTGAAATCTTACGAAATTTCTTACTAATTAATTAATTACTGGTGCTACAACCTTCTTCTTCTTTCGTGGTAAGAATGATTTGCTAAGATTGCCACTCAATCTAATTTTTACAGATTACATCGCGTATATTAACTTATTTAGTACCCGAGTTTCAGTAGGGTCACGGGGGGAGGGGGAGACTGAGGTGTTTGACTTCCTAATGTCATAATTAACCAAAGCTACCTCTAGATTAAAATTATTTACTTTTGTTGCGGTCTACGCAGAATGAACTTATAGAATCTTATAGTCTTGCAGTTGTATACTTGAGTTGGGATTTAATTTTATTATTTATAGGATCCCAAGGAGATGGTAGCATTCGGCCATCTTCTCTATTGAAATTGGGATGTTTTTGATTTCAATAGCCTCGCGAATCATCTTTGGAAGGAATCTGACCTTTAGCGAGGATTTGTGGTCTATCAAATCTGGTTTTGTGACGGGATCGATCCTGTAACTGTTCAGACTGCAGACTTCCCGGAGCGTCGATTCTTTGTATTTAAATTTGTAGTGTTTGCGTAAATTAAGAAATCAAAGACATCTTGCACCGTAGACGCTTGTCTCCGTCATCAGCCTGGGTATTTTACATGCGGTAAATACGATATGATAATTCACCGTATATCTGTGATCATGTTGTTATGGTAAGTTTTCGTGAAAACCACGAAGGGAATTATTATTATTTATCCTTATCCCTGATGTGTTTGTAGTTTTCAGTAAGTTTGTTTTACGTAGTAATGATTTTAATACTTTATTGGTAGATTCATATAATGAATATGGCAGCTCTAAGCACATGTACGCCATCTGGTTTGAAAAGCGATAATCTTTAGTTATCATTAGCGCCATTACGAGTTGCGGCCTAAAAGCGAAACTTTCACATCGATTTACAGAAGTGAAGTGGTCGTGAGTAGACTGACTTCTTTTTCACTTTTTTACGAACGAAAGAGAATTAAAGCGTTCAAGCGTAATGTTTGTGGTGCTAGTGCATTAAAACGTCTAGGATACGTTCTGTGCGTGTTATATTAACGATATGTTATGTGCTTAGTGTGAGTTAAAACAGCTACTCGATTCCAAGTGAAGTGATACTTTGGTGACAGAAAAATACCTATAATTTTTTGTCAGGAGCCGCCTGCCGGTAAGTATTGCTTTCAGAGATTCCGTTCATGTCTAAATATATTAAATAGACTCAATAAGATCACATTCTTTTGCGTTTCAAAAGCATTTTGCACTTTTATCTCGGTTTGGGTGTGTCTCAATCGTTCATAGATCTAATTGGGTCGTTTTTTTGGTCCTGCACACATTGAGATTGAGACGCCTTATTTCTGGCGGTGCTCCGCCTTGCCACTATTTTGAAATTTATTTTTCATACTTTCAATAAACGCGTTTTTTTTCAATACATACGTATTTAGTATAATGGTATACTAAACGATTAAATGGTAACCAGTGTTTTTAATTAAAATTAACTTTTGTGATGATTTTCAATAAATTTGGGCGTGACTTCAAATAATTTACTCGTTATCTGGCTCAATAGAGGTGATGTCACCGCTCAGGGCGCGGATGGCCATGTAATACGTCAAAATAGAATAAACTATAATTATGTACGGAGAAAAACGCAAAATGGTGCCTACTTCTTTTGGTTGGTTAATAGCTTGACCAGAAGGTACACAACGGGAGTACAATTTACAGAGTTGGAAACGATTTGATTGCTATCGATGATTCGGTCTGAGATTTCAAACCAATTAACAATTTATACATCGTGTAGTCGTTTACAAAGCTTTAAAATCGGTGCTTCATTCAATGGAAGCGTTTTCATTGGCTGATCTAAGTTTTCTGGTTTTCACCAAATAGAACATTGGACAAGATTTTTTCTAGGAAATGAGGCATAATTATTAAGCAATTATTCATTTAAAATTTTATGTTAGATTTTATATAGTGAGAAGAGATGAATAATTTTTTGCTTGTTATTTTTTGAATAATTATATACCTAATCACTGAGTTGTTGCTTTATCAAAAAAAAAAAATGAAAATGATTGTTCATACTATAAACATTATTGTAAAATTACATAAATTTATAAAAATTTTTCTTTAACTGTTTGTATATATGCCAATATTAAAGTAAAAATAAGATAATTTTAAGTTTAGAAAGTTTTTTCTATAATATTAACAATAATTTAAAACAAAATTAAAATTTATATGTGGTAGCCATGCTGCAGTTATATTAGTAGTGTAGTTATAGCATGAATGGGTCGGCTCATTGCACGAAGGGGAAGGACCATGTTCTCGCAGAATACCAGCGTAAAATAGTAGCTTAATGCTGCTGTGTTTCGTATGGTGAGTGTAGAGAACCGGTGACCCTTTTCACTGGAAACGAGGCATTCCA